TCTTAAAATAAATAAACATTAAAAAAAATAAAAAAAAATCTTTTAGATACTGTAAAATACCTTACCTACTGAAGCACGTACTGTTGTAATATCATAAGTTTCCAAGGAAAATATGACTTCATCCAGGACCTGAATGCCTTCCTCAGAATTAAAGAGGACTTCATGGTGTTCACTTCCAATGTGATTTGCCACCTGATTATTTAAGAAATATCCATATACTTGTTATAAGCACTGCCCTTGAAAATGAAACATGAATACTGTCATGTCACAACACGTTATAAGTTAATAATAGTGAAAAACAAATCAGGCAAAATATGAGGAAATGATTCTCTAGTCACCACATACACAGACCAGTTAGGTTTCCTGGCCTCCCCCAGTCTCTGCCCTGACTTGACCAAGAGGTAGACAGCCCATCAGCTCTTCCCACTCGAAGACTTCAACCTAACTGTCCACAGGCTTCCAGTGAGTTGTGTCCCCCCCACCCCCTACTTAAGTTACCTCACCCACTTCCTCCCTCTCTAGTGCAACATGGCCCCACTCTAACCTCGGCCCCCTATTGGCCCTCCATCGATGGTTTATGTTACATTCAGGATGTTATTCCTAAGGGAAATGCCTTCCCCTCATTCTTTTTTCTGTGGCTGTTTTGGATTCTTTTAGCCTTGATCAACTTGCTTTGACACTGCACTCATCCATTCCCTGTAAATTCTGCCAGAGTAGGAACAAAGTCTCCCAAACACGGAATGTGTATGTACAAGGTCCTCTCTGCCCATAATCCTAAACACGGTGCTTTATAAGAAATGAAAACAGCTAACATTTACAAAGTACTTACTACAGGCTATGCTCTATCCTATGCACTTCATGAATTCTATCATTTTCACCTTGACATTATCCCATAGTAGATACTGTCATTCCCATTACATAAGTGAGGAATCGTATGTTGGAGGTAGGATTTGAGACCAGCAGTCTGCTCCAAAGCATGCAGTCACAACCACTGTACCATTACTTTCAAAACGACAGAATTATTTTCACAGGGTTTTTATGAGGATTGCATGAGCCTTAGTAGAAGTACCCAGAGGACAGTGTATGACACACTTGATACTCAACAATGCATTTCATTTTATTTTAATACATTTAACTTAAAACAATTACCTGAGTCAATACAGCGTAAGTACAGAATCATTAATTAGTGGCTAGATTTTTATCCTTATGTCTGTCCCAATTACATAATGGGCAGGACGGTGTCTTACCTTTCTAGCAGCGAGTAAATCAGTACTGTCTTCCATGCCAATCGCAAATGTCTGGAGAGGGTACTGTACTTGAGCCTCTTTTAGCTGCTTCAACAGGGTGGCAGCAACCAAACTGGAATCTAAGCCCCCTATGAGCAAGACGGGAAATACACTGGCTATATGCCATGCTTACGAGAAACAGATATGATTTACAATCCCATTAAGCACCAAGATTAGAGTTTTGCTATTTAAAATCCCCAACTTTTAGGGGCGCCTGGGTGGCTTAGGCAGTTACGCGTCCAACTCCTGATTTCGGCTCAGGTCATGATCTCGCGAGTTGTGAGATTGAGCCTGTGCTTTGGGCTCTGTGCTTGACAGCATGGAGGCTGCTTGGGATTCTCTCTCTACCCCTCTCTCTGCCCTTCCCCCACTTGCACACGCTATCTCTCAAAATTAAAAAAAAAAATTTAAAAATCCCCAAGTTTTATAAACCGAAAATCAACATTATGAAAAATCTAACACATAACCTGACATAATGATTACAGTACTTGAATTGGTCAAAAGTCACCATACACAATTCTAAAAAATGTTTATTAGCTCACTCATACCAATAATTAGAATGTAACCTGAAGCTGCTCTATTGCCATGAATATTAAATGCAGCTTACAGAAAACATTTTTGTCCTATAATGGAGGGAAAATTAAATCATAAATATTTTATAGTCAAAATCTCAGGGATAGCTACAAATCATTTATTTAAATATGTGCTAAATATAATTGGGCTTTTTAATAGACTTCACCTGATAAAAGGCAGCCAATCCTTCTGTCTGTCATTAAGCGTTTCTTTATGGCGTTGTCAAAAAGGATCCGGAGGTTGTTCTTCACAGTTTCTAGCTCAAAACCTATAAACACGTAAAGCAAATCAACAGTTCCAGAAAATCTTGGGCTGAATTATTTACTGAAACAAGGCAGACAATCATCTATCAATCATGATGACACCTGCTCCAGGGTGGAATTTGCCAAATCCCCATGTGCCACCTCCAAATTAAATAGGAAAGAGCTCTTCTGATTTGAACCATTCCAATGACAAGAAAGTAGCACTTTTTTTTCCCTTTGGGAGAGACAGGCGGGGAACAGGCGGGTGGGCGTTCGCTTTGTTACCTGGGAAGAGTTTCTCCACATTGTCATAGAGCGCATGCAGGGGCTCATCTCTACAGTGATGATATTTGACCATTTCCACTGATGCAACTTTGCCATTCGGCTTTAAATCCAAAACTTCATAGTGTCCTGGGAGAAAAGGCTCCACTTTTAAAAAAGGAGTTGTGGAGTGCTTCAAGTTAACAAGACCTACAAATTCAAAACGATAATTTTACTCAAGATACAATTCACCATTACTTACTATCCTCTCAATTCCTGTTTATTCCCCCTTTTTGATATAAACACATGTCCATTATATAAGCAAAATAGGGAAGAATGAACCCAAATGCTACCACCTACTTACTAGAGAGAGAACAGTGGTAGAGATGTACCCTAAGGTTACACTGATTGCTAGTAGTTCAAAGTAATAAGAAGATCCCCAACATTCAATTTCTTCTCCCTGGCTGGAATTTCAGATCAAGAAAATCTATTTTCTATAAGAAAAGACACATTAAGCAAGAAGATGGACTTGAAATTGCTACTGTTATGATACCCTGGCAGTCCTTTCTTTGTCATCACTGAGGTATGTTAAGGAAACAGCCATGATTTCTGGTCCTTGAACAAGCAAAATGATCCACTATGAGGTAATGGCAGAACTAGTTATTATATACTGTGTGTTAAACAGTATAATCTAAATTTCTTCACAAGTTTTCACAGGGAGTAAACAACCTGGCATCACCATGATCTCTGATTAAAAACCAGTGTTTTATTGTAAATGGGAACAGCCTATCTAAATGCTCATTACGAGTCACAATTTGAGTTTGTCAGCCCAGTCATCTTCTGTGTCAGACTGAATTCAAAGATCAGATCGGACCCAGATTCCTGCCTAGCAAGCGGACCTCAAGAGAGCCACACAACCCCTATGGGGGATGAGGATTAATTAATAAGTTTCAAGCAGGGGGGCGCCTGGGTGGCGCAGTCGGTTAAGCGTCCGACTTCAGCCAGGTCACGATCTCGCGGTCTGGGAGTTCGAGCCCCGCGTCGGGCTCTGGGCTGATGGCTCAGAGCCTGGAGCCTGTTTCCAATTCTGTGTCTCCCTCTCTCTCTGCCCCTCCCCCGTTCATGCTCTGTCTCTCTCTGTCCCAAAAAAATAAATAAACGTTGAAAAAAAAATTGTAAAATGTTTCAAGCAGGGAGGACCATCAACCGATTAGTTTTTGACACGCTATTCTAAAAGCATTGAGAAACAGTCACTTGAAAACTTCTGGACTGCCCAGCATAGGATTTGCAAATATGATCAAGAGGAAAACACAAAACCAGAGTAATAATGAATACCTACAGACATATTCTATCATTACCTTTAGCTTCTGAACACACAGCCAAAAATCCATCTTCCGTCATGGCTTTAAACAAAGGCCTGACTCCATAAGTATCTCTGCCCAGGAACACTTTCTTATTGGCAGTATCCAGCAAAATAAATGCAAACACCCCATCCAACATGCAAACTGTTTGCTCAATTCCTCCTTTGTCGTAAAGATGAAGGATTATTTCACCATCCACTTTGGTCTGGTATTCAAATTCAAAATGGTGTTGCATCTTGTAAAAGCAATAGCAAAATAAAAATGTTAACGTTACAGTCCTTGTGCATCCACTAATAATTTTTTGTTGCAAAGTTGCTTCAAAACATTTCTATGTTCGATAATCACGCACCTTATTTAGAAGAATCATTGCATTATCAAAATACAACTCGTTTGAACTTACAATTCTGCTCATTCTTTACAGCATAAAGCTAAATATGCACATTTTAGTTGCCTTCTGATAAATGAAAAGCAGAGGCAATGTAGCAAAACAGTCATACATATCAGGAAGGATAGGAATGCCCATTATACATGTCCTATGTCTATAATACATGTATGTTTACATCTGTATGTCAGTTACGCAAAGAGGTTGCAATGACACTAAAAATGTGTCTTCCCCAACTGTAATATTTTGGTTTGGGAATATAGGATCAGCTGAGGTTTTTCCATTTCAGTCTCAAAGACCTGCCTATGAAAATGGAAAGTAAAAGGACACACACAGTTGGTTCTATTCCCTGACGAATGGCTCCATCACAATGATGAAGACACATCGTCCAGATAAAGCTGATGGCCCCCGGGGGAAGCCTAGAATATTCAGTCTTCCCACCATTGCAGTGGCATTAAACTACTTCTCACTGATAGAGAAAATGACAGGGGAGCTTTAGTAGTCCACATGCCCCAAGGGCTCAGCAAAGTGACCATCATGGCCACTCAGCACAGAGGGAGAGGGCCTGATTACATTACACCGGGCTCTGGCTCTCCATCACCACTGGCCAACTGTGAGGGGGAGAAATCCTTGGAGTTGCTCTTTCTTTGTGCTTACTCCTATTTTTGGCTGACCATGGAGAGAGAAAAGGTTCCTATAAACAAAATCACGGGGAAATCCTGGTTAAGTTTAAACATTCAGAACATGTTTTTAAAATTCACAAAGTAAATCTATATGTCTGTATATGGATGACCTATAAACATGCTTCACAATCACACTCGCTCTATCACTTGTGAAACTTCTGCCTATAAGCACTCACTGAATGACCCAAACCATGGGCTCTGGCTGCCTTGAGTGACTATAAAGCCACTTCCTGTTGACCTCTCCCTCCTCTGAGAGAGATCAGGGGAGATCCTGTCACTAGCAGGTGGGGTTTGGAAGCAGTCTTTTGCTTGCCTTTTTGCACTTACGTATCGGAAGAATAAATATACCCTCCAAAGCATTCAGTGATTTCAGTAAGCAACAGCTTCCCAAATCTATCCTCCACTACTGTCATCACTGCTCTTTGGCTAAACCTTGCAGGTAACTTACTGGTTAATGATTCCCAAGTTCCACTTTCCACTCTCCTGAAACCACACTTGGGTAAAAGCTGCACTTAGAGGGCATCTGGGTGGTTCAGTCAGTTAAGTGTCCAACTTTTGATTTCAGCTCAAGTCATGATCTCAGAGTTTGTGAGTTCGAGCCCCACATTGGTCTCTGCACTGACACTGCAGAGCCTGCTTGGAATTCTCTCTCTCTCTCTACCCCTCCCTCCCCTCTCAAAATAAATAAACTTAAAAAAAAAAAAAAAGCTGTACTTAGATAAAAGTCCCTGTATCCTGCCACCATCCAGAAATCACACTGCCACTTGACCTGCTGGTTGCAAGCCCCTGATGATCCCTGTAGAGAGAGAGCCTCCTCTCTGCCCCAGCCTTTACTCAGATTCCTCCTCTCCTTCATTTATTCTTCCTCCACACCCCGCACATCTCTAGCTGGATTTTATTAGAGGTAAATTTTTTTTCATCCAAAAAAAAAAAAAAAAAAAAAAAAAAAAAAAAGGAGGGGCTTTGGAGCTTATGTTGTAGTGTCCTTTATACAGATGTAAAATGGCCATCCTCCTCATCAACAGATTTCTGGCCGCTCACACAACAGAAGCTTAGATGATTGGTAGATGCAATGGAATTTCTATGCTTTTGAAAATACAATATATTTGGTAATTTAGAATAAAAATACTTGTGAAATATTTACTATTTTGTAACTTTTCAACAAAATATATAAAAGCAGCAATGTTGTTCAAGTTACACAAGGTATTTCCTATCTGATTTAAGGTGAAAGGTTAATATTGCCATAATACAACCTAGCATTCTCGTGTGTATGGCACTAACTTGGCTTGGTAAGAAAGAAGTCTTACCTCCTGTAAGTACCTCCTGTACTCTCACTAGCTTGAAATTCCATTCTTACTTTTCGTGTTCACCATTTCATCTCCAAGCACCTAGAAAAATCATGCCTATATACTCTTAATAAATGTCTGAAAGGAGTCTGCTGAATAACCATAAAAACTTTTCAAATGAGAAGCCTATTATTAAAAGTAATCTTATGAGGAGATGACACACAATGGTAAAAGCTATTGTCCAGAGATAAAAATGTCGTAATGGTGGCTAGAATATAAATACCTCCCCATGAATGACAGATGTATATCAAGACTCAAAAAATACCAAGGAACCTAACAACTAAATGTATGAAGTATGAATGCTATCAGGCTTCAACAAAACAAAGCAGCTATAAAGACATTTTTGTGACACTTGCAGAAATTTAATTTGAACTCAATATTAGATGATCTTATTGATTCTTGGGTTTAATAGTATTGGTATTAGGTAGAGGAAGGCCCTAATTTTTAAGAGATAAGTGCTTGCATATTTAGAAGTGTCACGATATCTGCAGTATACTCTAAAATGATTCAGCCCAAAATTAAATGCCTAGGTGTATATACAGAAAGAGAGAAATAGAGCAAATACGGCAAAACATTAACAATTAAATAACCTAGGTTCTGTTTGTTCTATTTTTTTTTTTTTTTTTGGTTTGTTCTTCTTTTTTGTTCTTTTTTACATGTTTTAAATTTTCAAAATTACAAGTTGGGGAGGAGGGTGGCAAACAAAAAATAACTTGGAAATTTTGCATTAAAAAATTTATGAAACACTAGCCAAATAATTCTAGATTGGAAGGTTCTTAGCCAGTTTGGCTCCCTGGGGTCAGAATTTCCACCCCCTCACCACTCTCATCCTGAGTAAGCTTTCACCAGATTAGAAAGCTGTTCCAATTTTAATGCTGCTAAAAAAATTACTCCTTTCACTCTTCTGTCCGTGGCTCTGTTTAAGTGCAGTCAGTACATAGTAGCAATAAATGTCAGAAGGGCAGCATTATATAAAAGCTACCAGTATGATTACCTCCAAACTATTAAATTCCATACCTGCCCTAAAGTCCTCCAGTCTCCCTACTCTTAGAATGATATTCCAACTCCTTGCCAAGTCCTGCTTGATCTGGTCGTGCCCTGCCCACCTAACTACCCCTTGATCACATCTGACAATCCCAGGGCTGCTTCCTACCTCGGGGCTTCTACACATGCTATTCCCCCAGCATGAAATGCTGTTCCCAGCCCCACTAGTTGATCATTATCCATTAGGTCTCAGTTCAAGTGTCAGTTCCTCAAGAGGCCTTCTCTGACCACCCTTGCTGACACTGGATCTCCCATATTATTTTTTTTTTTTTTTTTTGTCCAGAACATCTATCGTATGTACGAGGATTTTTTGTCTTTTTTTATTTTTAATGGAATAAACTCCATCAGAGTGCAGACCTATGTCTCATACTTACTACTGTATCCCCAGTACCAAACACAGGCTCTAATTAATATTCAAATTCATGACAGGAAAAAAAATTCTAAGAGTTAAAGAATTATAATCTTCATTTTGTCTTTTTTTTGTGACCAGGCCATTTGAACTCCTTGTGCATCTGTGCCCTATCTCTCTTTAGAATTGGAGCAAATGAGGTAATGAACATGGAAACTGTGTGAAAAGTAAAAAGCTTTATACAAAATATATAAAATTATTACAACCAACTAGCCCTGAGGTTTAATCACATCCAGATATCTTCTGGTTTATTTACCTTCTTGTGGTTGTAGATTTCACCGTTGTAACAAAGCCACAAATAAGGATATTTCTTCACTCGGATTGGCTGCATTCCAAATAGCTGGTCAACCACTGCCAACCGATGAAATCCAAAGCAGCAGTTGGTGTATCCATTGACATTCTCAAAGCGAAATGCATCTGGACCCCTGTGTGCAATCTTCATAGCACTCAGACACTGAACAGAAAGGCAGTCATCACTGCCAAAGAGGGCCCAAATCCCACACATGGTGCAATGGAGCTAGGGGCTCTCTACGGAGAGAAAAGCAGACCAGTTGAATATTCCATATCCAAGTCTGTATTAAATCTTGATTCCAAAAACGGGCATAAACTACTTCAAAGACTGATATTTAAACCATCTGATCTATAGCATTAGGCTGGCAGGCACCCAGGAGTTGAGACTGATTTAGTTGATTTACAAGTATTCAGAAAAGATGCATGACCTTCACATCCAGCCGGCTAAAGCAGTTAGCACCCCATCAATGCCTGCATCTCTCTCACCTTGGACCTTGGCTCACCTGAGCCGGGGTAGTCAGGCCACATTCTAGGTTTACTTCCAAGATACAGATATACATGCAGGCTGGCTCCAACCTAGTGAGAGGTCCCTGTCCCATTCTCTCCATGCCAGAATGTCAGAAGCCCTCAAAAATCCAATAGACTCCCCAGATTACTACTACAGTCCCCTCTCGGGACTCCTGACAATTAAATGTCCTCTCTTTACCTGTAGTAACTGCATGTAGAGTATAGCAGGTAAGAAAGATCACACATACTGCTCGTGTAATGTTAAGATACATAGCTATTACAAGCATTTCACAACTTCTAGTTTACCTCTAAGTGATTTATTCAAATGTGATAAAAGAAATTCTACAGAGACAAAAGGCATGTTATCTGACATTAGATACCCTGGATCGATTACAAAAAAAAAAAAATTTTAAGTTGACAGAGATACATAATGTTCAC